GGTGACGTAGGACGATTTGACGGCCTTCTGCTCGTGACGTCACTCGTCGACGACCCGACCTTGGGCGATCAGAAGTGGTGCCAGTTTGTTGTAGACGACCTCGCAAGTCATACACAGTACGACGGCTGCATCCTATTGCTCTTCCAACGTCAATAACTGATCTTCCCGCTTGCAACATGCCAAAGGCACATTCACGTTGCACATTTGACAATCGTGGCATTTCAAGTACCGTTAGAACTGTTGTTTAAAAGTGTTTTTTCAATTCTTGAGGCCAATGCAAACGTGCATATGAAGAAAACTTCGATGCGAAGATCACGTGATCGACTGCAAGTGCAAAATCTGATTTGGCACTAACGTCATTTGCACGACGAATGGATGGGTTTGAGTGGGCTTTGCTAACGTTTTTCTAGAGTCGAAAGATAGGGATCCCATTTCGGATACATAGATGTATCATCAGAGAAAAATTATTCATTATTTTTCAAATTACATTTTGTGAAGTTTCTTTTTTGACTCAGTATATGATCTCATAGGATGTCATGATTTGTTGTAAAATGTTGCGTCGGTACAGCTGTGCCCATGGTTCATTATAATTACACTACCACATATTTTCAACTTGGGGAAATCAGGGTGGCATAGGTACCTATTTATCCATGGTTGGAACGAATTGGAAACGTGAGGATCGTGTTGGGTGTGCGTGGAATGTGATCTAATGCTACAGATTATCATACCATCAACACAAGTTTTGGATGGTGCTGCATTATGAGCAGTGAGTGAGTTAGTTGTACTTCGCACGCAGAAATATTCCAGCTATATGGCGGCGGTCTGTAAATAACCCAGTGATCAACAGCATGAGCATCGGGCATTATGAACAGGTCGTTGTGAGGTATCTGGGATATAGCGCTCTACATTGACACAATATTCACTCCAACAACCTGCTTGACTCAGAGTTAAAGTGACCTTTGTGAATATCAGGCTCAAGAGTTTAAGTAAAATGATCCATTAAAAGGTATAGAGGGTGTAACAGTTGTAATCTTTATATGTTTTAACTTCAAAAATATCACAGCATTCTTAGTTGTTGAACTGAGTGATGACGGATAAGCTTGGTCACACATGTCTTCATCTGGGTGTTATATTGATAGTCATGAGGAGCATTATGGCGTTAAGTACGCTCTTACCCAGTTCCGTAAAGACAGGTTTGATGAATCTACCTATATCTTAGCATTACTCAGATTGTTTCCGTTTGGATACTGTTTTATGGATATTTTATGGATGTTTCCAAGCATTTTATTTATATGTCGATATTTTGTATAGTGCATTTAGTGTTTGTGTGCATTTTCATTTTATGACAAATGTAAGTCATATCAATTGTTCATGTCTGCGCTATTTTGAGTCAATTGTCATAACTGATGATGAAAACTTGCTGTCATTTTGGACTGTACAGAATCAACAAAATTCAGATCTGTCGTTCATACATGTTTGTCCTCCTAACGCAGAGTGAAAGACAATACAAATTCGCTCATACAGCAAGTACTTCAGATAATAAGATGTTTTTTAGATATCAAATCACCTCGTTTGTTCACAAGTAGGATGTGGCAGTTACACTTTGACAATTCCTCAACAATCCTGATTTACATTAAGCTGGTAGCATATTTAATTCAATGTGTTAATTGTTATACTTTTGCTTCAAGGAATCATCGCAAGAAAAATATAAGTATCTCCTAAATCGGTCTCACGCTGCTATTGTGCAAGTCTTTCATTTCAGAACAAATCTACCTAGCAAACGCACGAGGGAACTTGTAATGGCAGAGGATCTGATTGCTGGACGTACCGGACGGTGTAACTCAGGCACGTTTGAAACGGGATAACCTGTAACCTCCCAGGTAGCATGCCATCATCGGCCCGACGTCGGCTGATAGTCGGCACCGTCGGCTAATATCGGCATCGTTGAACAGCGCTGGGCAGACAGTAGGTCAATATAACCCAGCTAACACATAACATTTTCCAAACATGTTCATAAGGTTTCAAATTGGTTTAACAAAAATATTTTTGTTAAAACATAGGCCCAACGTTCGAACAATGTCCCTCATCTATTTAAAACATCAACATGTTGGTTTTTTAAAGTTATTCACGAAGAAAGAAATGTTACCGCGGGAAATGTCTATTTTGACTTTGTTTAGGGTACATTTCTTTATACAGAAACGAACCAGGGGTATGTATCTGTAGTACCTGTGCCGACAATGACCCCTACAGCCTGACTAAACTAAATGTTGATCATCTGCACGGTTGTTGTGGTTGCTGGTCTAAAATTCGCATGCTATTTTCAGTAAAAGGCTAGATCGATATCATTGAAGTAAAATGTTTACATTGTGTATTCTTCAATTTTTCCAAAACGAATCAATTAGCATTTTCGGATATGTATATTCCCCTTCTAAACGAGAGCCAGAATTTTCCTGCGCTATAACGGGGCGTTAGCGAAGACTGGTCCTCGGCAATGGTCATTCGATTTTCGATCACTATGTTTTTTTCATGATACTGTATTATTTATTCCAGTTTACTTAGTCTTTGTTCAGGAAATGTAGGACCAAATAAATTTCTTATGGTTCACTTGGTTCATCGAAACATTTTGCCAATGAGAAACAATATTGTGATCGAAAACTGAACGAATCTGGTTACAATTCTCGCAACGAAATCACACTCCGCGAGTAAGACGTGAATCATGTAGCTGGTTACAATAGCTATTTAAATCAATTCAAGTTTGGATTCCAGGTTAGTATAATAGAAACGCTCTCCAGTAATCCATGTTTGTTGTTATAGGGGCAGAGATATTTCTAATCCAACTTTAACACGTTGGTGTTAAATTTACACACGTAGACCCCACTCAAAACTTTAGGCAATCCAGCAATTACACAATATATTTCAGCGTCGGACTAACAAGACTTATATATGCTTGGGGAATCTAGTTCAATTTGTAACTTGTTATGAAGTGGAACATTGTTATTCTCGTTGCAGCAAAGGTGAAAATGAGACACAAGAATTCAGGCAGATACAAACAGAAGTGATGGATTTGTTGAGGATTACATGAAATAATCCAGGAGCTGTGAATCTGTAAACATAAGTGCATCTGTTAAGTACCATTGTCTATATACTTGTTCATTGCGTTTTGGCTTTTTACTGCAAAAATTGCATTTGTACCTGCACTCAACCTCTGACCAACAAGAGAGATGGGGTTGTCGTTGCTATTCAGTGTGATTTGATACTATTATCAAATTAGGTATTCAAGGATTTCCATTACTTTCCATTGTGTGCTGGTGTCCATCAAACACTTGCATATACATAGGTGCTGGAAGACTTCATTAACTGATTATTATCTCTTGGTTTGACATGATACACTTACTATACATTTTTTCTTTATTTCAGAAAAATGGATAATGGCTGAAACCGATTCTGAAGTAATCTCGAAAAGTGTACGGGTTTTCTGAAAAACAATAATAAAGAGTGTTGATTACATGCCTGTCATCCTTTTTTATGTTTCCTTGTTAAGAGTAACAATGTCTATTTTCCATAGACATGTAACCTTATTGTTAACGGTTATTATTTTACTGAAAAGTTAAAACCACATCTTGACAGAAAATTTTATTACAATGTTTCCTGAACCATAAACATTCACATAAACATTCAGAAGCTTTTTAGGTGGTTACTGAATTTTAGAACCAAACGTTCGTAGAACACACTGTTTCTGGAACCATACAAATTCATTAAATAAAACGTTTTAAAAACATGAAATGTTTAGGAGATGTATTTTCACATTTATATATTTTTTTGATACACATATAAACTAGTATTCATTTATAAATTGTGGTACATGCTATCAAATATGTATTCACCGTGGAGAAGTGAAGTGAGCAACTAAACTAACGGGCAAAAGAAACCATACTAAGTCGAAATGACTGATATTACAAAACGACAAACCACCATTGCGTAAAAGGAAAGTTAATGTTAATAACAGGTGTATGGGCTTGTGTATGCACATGCATGTTGCCCATAATGCACACGACGTCGGGCCGATGTCGGGCCGATGATGGCAAGCTACATGGGCTGGATAATTGTTTATTTACAAGTCATGGAGACATACCTGGGAAACTTTCAAACATGAAACTGTTTTTTCACATAAAACACAACTGATGAAGATTATCATTGACACCTTCTATATAACTATCAATACATTTCCTTTTCGTTGCCATAAACCTGTTCTTGAAAGATGTCGTGTGCTTGCAAAATCATTTATTACAGACAAGATGGAAATAAGCAAATTCATAAAAATCTTATTGCGACATGGTCAGAGTGATGGTGTAAGAGCTGAGGATCGTCAACATCCTTAGACAGATTTGTTTTGTGATCGGTGCATTTTTCTGAAAGGAAGCTCAAAAGGAGCTTTTCAGATAAAATGTGTTATATAGACAATATTACACTTGCATGTATGTCATACTTGTTATATTAACCTCCTGTAAGCATGTATCCTTGTTTGGGAAATACAAGAATTGAGAGACATGTTTTCTGAAATGGATATGATACAAATCTGTAATTCTTACAACACTCGTCAATAAGCCATTAATTTTCCATACCCAATTACCAAACGTGAACTTTCCTTTTACAAACCGTTGCGGGAATTAGTGATTGGTAAATACATATCATTCTGAGAAGTTTTGAATGTTCATGCTCAAATATAAATGTGACAAATCATTGAAATATATCAGCTCATCACTATAGCCAATATTGAAGTCATGTGAAATGATTTTGAAATCCAACCAGTTAGTGCGCAAAGAAGTAAATCAAGTGAGAAGCACATTTGGTGCCCATTTATGTGCCTATTCACGGCATTGATGATTAATACCCATATTTCATTTGAATGTCAACACCGAAGTCCAGTATTGATTAATCAGGGAAAAACGACGAAAGATATCTTTACTAAAACATTTCTTTACATATGTTAGACACTGCATTCAACATGGATCGTCCTCCCTGTACGGCCCTTCAACAATGTGTCGTGTGGAAGCATACTTCACTATATGTACATTTTCTCCTTCACAAGCCATATCTAGGATGTTATCACCAATACCATTCATAATTGTTAGATCAGCCTCATTCTCAACAAGTAAGAAGAAGATGGCCTCATGTCCCCAACGTGCTGCAATCATTACTGACGTGCAGTCGTCCCCATCCCGACTGTTGATATCAAACATATTAAGTGTGAGGAGGTACTTTACTATCTCAACGTCTCCCTCACAGGCCAAATGAAGGATGTTGTCATTATCATAATCAAGTAGTGACAGATCGGCGCTCCATTTCACAAGTAAGTCAAACACATCTTTACGTCCTCCTGTTACTGTATGCATTACTGGCGTCCAACCGTCCACATCTCGACTGTCGATGTCCACAATGTCATGTTTTAAGAGGTACTTGATTATCCCAACATTACCTCCTGTACAAGCTACATGAAGGGTGGTTTCTTTGCGATCACTTAAGCGTGACAGATCTGCACCTGCCTTCACAAGAACGTCAAATACATCCTTATGTCCATACTTGGCTGCACGCATTACTGGTGTCAAACCGTTGAAACCTTGACTGTTGATCTCAACAATGTCATGTTTCAGGAGGTACATGATTATGTCAACATTACCAACTCCACAGGCCATATGAAGTATGGTTTCTTTGTTATTACTCACTTGTGACAGATCTGCTCCTGATTCCACAAGAACGTCAAACGCATCCTTATGTCCACGAATGGCTGCTTGCATTACTGGTGTCCAGCCGCTGGCGTCTCGACTGTCAATGTCCACAGTTGTATGCTTCAGGAGATACTTGATTATCTCAGTATTTCCCCCTCTACAGGCCAAATGAAGGATGGTTTGTTTGTTATTACTCACTTGTGAGAGATATGTTCCTGCCTTCACAAGAACGTCAAACACATCCTTATGACCTTCACTGGCTGCTTGCATTACTGGTGTCCAACCGTCCATGTCTCGACTTTCAATGTCCACAATGTTATGTTTCATGAGATACTTGACTATCTGCACATTACCCCTTCACAGGCCCTATGAAGTATGGTTTCTCCGAACTCATTCAGCAATAACAGATCTGCTCCTGCTTCCACAAGTAAATCAAACACGTCTTTTCTTTTGTATAAAGCTGCAGTCATTGCTGGTGTCAATCCGTCGAGATCTCGACTGTTGATGCCCACAACATTCTGGGTGAAGACATATTTGACGATTTCAACACTTCCCCCAATACAGGCCAAATGAGCAATGTTCTTGTCTTCATCATCCAATAAAGACAGGTTGGCACCTTCCCTGACAAGTAGGTCAAACACTTCTCTATGTCCCTCCTTTGCTGCATGCATCACTGGTGTCATGTTGTCCTTCCCCACTGAGTTGATATCTGCACGGCCATCAGACAAAATGAACTTGACTCGGGCCAAATCTCCACCAATGCAGGCATCGAGGAGAGTTGTCTTAAATTCAGTGTCATTCCAGTTTTCTGAAGTAAGACATAAAATCATTCTTTTAATACAAAAAAACCCCGTCATATCCTAGAAAAATAATAGCGTATATGTAAAAAGCATGTATTACCATCTCCGACACCATAATTATATTTTTCGTCAACAAAAGAAAACGTAAAAAACACACACTAGAGGTGAAAGGATTTAAGATTTAAATTTGTTGACGATGCTACTTGCCCGTGCATGTACTTGTTAAGGATGCCACGGGTGGGGCAGGACACTCGGTATCATCGCTATTTGATTGTAAAATTTGAATGCATGGTTTTCTCACAGTGGACGTTGCATTTAGAAGCCATTTATTTAATGAGAAAAATGTAACAAAATGATAAAGTTATTAATTGTTACGGTGATTTCAGTCCTCTCCTTGAAACAGTTGGACAAACGCAAATACTCTGCGTGATTCCAATGAAAGTCACTTATTAGCCCTGCATTGGGTGGGATCGCTTACACGAAAGATCATATACTGGCTAACAGGGTTACTCCAGCAAGAGTAACTATATTTAATAATTTTACAATTACTTTCTATTTTCAAGGAAAAAACCCAGGAATGACATTGAAGCTTGTGTACGCATCATCCTTACAAATTCTGTTGATAAGGTGCCATTTGTAATCAGGTGAAGAGATATGAGGCTTATTCTAAACACATTGAAGAGTTATCTTCATTATTTCCAATATACAAAACTAAATTTACATAAACATAATGTATTTATTTTTCAAATCAAACTTACAAACGAGGAATGAATGAACCAATGAAACAATAAAAAAACACCAGAACTAGAGACTTCTTAAAAAAGAAAATAATAAAAAGTGTACAGACATAGAGAGCTGAAAAAGATCGAGTACAGATATTCCGAGTACCACGTGAATTGTATTGTTAGCCAAGTAATGCAGAGAGATTGTACAGACATCCCAAGGCGATCCTTCAGCCATGTCATGCTGTAAAAAAGTATGTCCGTTCAGACTCTAACATCGATTCCCATGACTGTCCTTCAGCACATAAAAGATAAAAACGATGGTATGCTTTAGTTTCGATCTAAAACTCACTTGTAGTTGCATTATAATGTTAATGCAGGTACACCTTTTCTATAACATCGTGTAACGGACTACAAATTTCCTCTTCCCTTGACTGCAATTGAGACACGGACCACCTGATCCGATGCCGAGCTCGTTGTCCACATGACCAAAGAGGTTAATCCCAGCAGACAAGTTAAGGATGCTATCTGTAGGATGACTTCGTGCCCTGTTGCAATGTGCTATTCCAACAAATTTGTGTCCATTATTTACGAACCACTATTAAATAGTGGACTGTTGCAATACCATGTGAACTTATCTGTCACAACCACATGCAAAGGAAAGTCAAGTGTTCAACTGAACAACGCGGCAACATAGACTAAATAACCATTGAGTGGCCCATTAAAGGTATGTAAATGGAAGAGGATTAATGCCGATAGTGATTCAACTTTTACATGAGCACATTTAACCTTTCACACATTCAGTTTGGCCAGTTCGAGTCTCCAGACACCTTATGTTTGGACAAGTCTTCAACTGACAGGAGCCAGATCGGACCTAAAACAGGAGCAAGCAGGACACATGGTTTCAAATATTTCTTTTTTCTGTATGTTACTGTAAACTGACAGACAAAAACAAAGTGACTTACACTTTCGTTTTGTTTTCATATTGCATAATTGGCAAATATATTTCGATTTTTCAACGGCCAGCCTTAGTCTTCATTTACAAACAGATAAACCAACCCGATATTGAACTATAAGGTTCTTTAAGGTTTCCGTCTTGAGTACTGATAATTAAATTTCAGGTTGGAGTAGGGTCTTGAAAGTTTTGTAATATACTATCCCAAAAAAGAAAAGCATAGGCATTTTGTATTTTCGAAAATCTATTAATTATCTATTGTGTTCAAACAATCGTCAAACTATGTAATGAAAGTGTTGATAACATTATTTTACACCATTGAACAAGTCAAAAATCGACTTTACCTGAAAATGTTGATCTTAATGAGATTAAAAAGGCATCGCCACAACGCAACAGAAATCACCTTCCAGTTGAAAATGTGCAGCAAAGAGCATGCACTGTCTGGTTATAAAAAGACATATTACTTTCGGAAATGGACATTCATTTTGAAGAAGTTTCAAGGAAAATCACTACGTCTTGACGCTGCGACACGGAACATCGTCATTGAATGAATGCACGCTGGAGATTATGAATCTTCTGTTGCCAGCCGTCTGAATGTTAGTCTGAGCACGATATCACTGCCTGCAGCTCGTTACAACCAAACAGGTATAACAAATGACCGTCCCCGTACAAGCACACCTCGAGTGACCACTGCAGCCCATATCGGTACTTCCGGGTACTACATTTCCACTTGTTTGTATAGTCATTACCTTCTTCTAAACTGATGGAAAAATTCATGTACTAAACTCTATTTGTGGACGAGTTATACATGTTTCAAAATACAACATTTTCGCAACATATACTAAGCAACAAAAGAAACGTCAGTTTGGAATTTTCCATCGCAGAAACGGATAGCTGTAAACTCATTTAATGTTTTGATTGTATATTTTTGACAACATCTCCAACTTTACCTGAGCAAAGACATTCCTTCCCAAACTCAGAATGGAACCCAGGAAATGGTCTCAAAAACACAACCTGATCTCGTAGATGGCACGGTGTTCTCCATGTTTTCCATGCAACTCATGCTGCACGTGCTGTTCACAAGGACCAGCCCTATAAAATGCACCCCCAAACCAGGTTGAAACAATCACATTACAACGTCAGCAGGATGCTGCGACTGCGCATCAGCTGCAGATGGCAGAACACGAATATGGCTACGAAGTGGCCAGCGTTACTCAGACCAATGTGATATGGAAAGAGACTCTCATGGGGAGGTGCAAGCATCATGGAATGGGGTGGAATAGGCCTTTCTCAGAGTGTGGTTCCAGGTGCCAATGGCCTTCGTCAATCAATTGGTGCACTCCATGCATAGAAGCTGTGCTGCAGTTATTGCCGCGCGTGGTGGTCACACTAGATACAAAAGTCAAGAGTCTGAATGGATTGCAAACGTTTACGTAATGTCTTGAAGTTGCGCTGAGTTATTCATTTATGTGTCAACATATTGTAAATAAATGTTTTTGATCCGCTTATTATGTCCATTTCTGTAATGATTTGATTACAGTGCCTATCTGATTTTGATAGTGCTGACGTTTTTTTGCTGCTGAGTATACTTCTGGGTTATGCGTTTCTTTTGGAATAGTATATTTACAGCGTGAACTATCCTTTGAAGTAGAATGCCATTCTTGGTAGTACATATGTATATGTCGATTTCTAAATTATTGTAAGAAACATCTCTACATTTACATCCAACTTACTGTCATAAGCATACCATGTGAAAAAAGACGGTTTTATTATACAATGACCTTGTGTTCTTTCCCATGTCATCTAAATGTAAAACCATTCTGAAGGCTAATTTGATAAGACGTTGTTCATCCTTGTGAAGTATTGTGGTTTGCATCGTTTGCATGATGTAGGCTAAGTTAGGACGACGTTGGTGATGCATATGAACGAATTTAAACCAATATTTTAAACATCTAATCTGATAATTAACATCACCATTAACAATACATACAGGAATCTCTTACATGCTAAAAAGTTAACCATCTTCAAACAGTCACAATGTGGATATCCCCACTACCCACTGGCCCCAATGATTGTATCTGGGTATCACAGAGCCCAAAGACTATAGTAGGTAACAAGGTCCCAACTGCATGGATATTGACGCTTATAAAAACTTTCTTTGCACGCATTGATGCATCTTTGGCACAGGATTTCAAGTTGATGTCGTGTGCAAACCAAATTTCTAACTGACCATCAAATAATCATACTTCTTTCAGCGTTGTTTGTAGTCTAACAATAATTACCTGACACTACAATGGCATCGTCTGCAAAATGTAACATCAAAACTGCTACTAAATCGGAAACATTTGGACGACAGGTTCACAATTTGAAGGTATCTAAATATATCATTTATTAATGGAAAACAAAAATAAGATATCGGGAAGGGAGACATTGGTGTAATGGTGTTAGCAGGGAAAGAATTCTTAAATGTAGCTGCTACAGAAGTGAATGTTATTTAGGTTTCTTTGGAATCGTCAACAGGCGCTGATTCCTTATGCAAAGGCTTTTGGGTTGAATGTATGGGTTGATGAGCTCCTTAAAGTAGTTGGGATGAATTCTAATCAGGCAATGAAAGTCACACAGATTTCTACGTGGCTGTGACAGGCAGTCGTTATAAGGCGTTAAGAACCGGGTGTTTCGTGTTTATGTTCAAGCGTTTAAAAGATATATATATGGGACAAAGTGTTCTGAAATGTTTGCAGTCTCTGGATCTTCTTCGGTAGGACTTAAAAGCCTTTTAGAAAAACATCAACTAAGTGTGTGTTTTCTTTGAGCAAAAGAGTCCAAGTACGTGTGTAGGTTGTGTCTAATGTGATGAAATGGCGGATAGTGCAAATGGAACGAGATGAAAGTTGCAGACCCTGCAGAGGTCATCAATACACTACCTAAATACACTCCCTCTTGAGAGAATATGATAACTTAATGTTGGCACTCCTGACACCATCAGTCTCTGTTTTCATCCGGTGAGCATTCCAAACAAGCGTAACCTTTTCTTGTCAATCAAATTTCAGCATCTGCTCCGTCATCCCTAAGTTTAAGTTCTTTGTACAGGTTTTTGTCTGGTTAAATGATCAGACAGATAGCAAGATTAGTAATTAATTGTCAGCAATGTGTATGCAATTTACAAAGGAATACTTGTTATGTGGAGGAACCATGGGGAAGGAGACAGGGGTCTGGATGTGAGAGACATCGTAAGTTGGATGCACTGCGTCTATGGTTGTGATCGGCCAGTAGAAAAGGGCAAACGACGTACAGTTACTTCCTCCAGTTCCTACTTGCAGCTTGAAGATCAGGAGAAGCTTCCCTTTATTGATCTCAAAAACAAACTAAGCAACACACGTATATGCAAAGCTTACCGTGGTCGATGGCGTGAGATGAAATACTCTGACTGAGCGGAACAAGAGAACTCAAAGCATCTTATGGACCAAGGTTTCATTAGCCATACTCACGCTGAACAGCACAAGAGTACCAAAAGCTTGTCGTGGTGTATGGTGTCAGACGAATCACATAGACTGAGCATCACAAGTATGCTCAAAGCTTCTCATTCCTCAGCTGACATCTTGGCCTTGTACGTGGCATTATTTGACATGAAATGGTGAGCTATGTGATAAAAGAACTGATTATGGCATATCACTTTAGTTTTTCACGTAGGATAGCCAGACTTTGGATGGCATTAGGCTTTGATAAAATACAATATCAAATTATTATCAGTTAGCGCTTTTTGCATTCTACAAATGTAGCCACCACTTACTGAATCTGAAAAGGCATTCAACTTATTAGTCCATTAACGTCGACTCTTTGGAATATTCTTCGACAGTTGGTTGCAGGCTGCTCACGATAAATTGTCCACAAGTAAGAAGGCATCTGTGATTATTCGACCATAAGGTTGGTACGTATAGTGGTATGATAGAGTTTGGCAGCAGCAAGCAATGGAATTTACACCATGATCTATCAAGTCCACTTTCGGCAACACGTTCCTATATCTAAACAATGTTGAATTTGAAATATAGTTGCTTTTTATTAACAAACTTTTGTCCGTGAATGTTACATATAAGGCAGCAATATCCTGAAAAACATGCAAAGTCTTTTATTCTGATTTGGTGGTGTCTAATTCTTTTATTTGGAACGCATTTCAAATCACTATCAAAAGATATGATAGGTTCAATGGGCTCTTTCTGGTGTAGACCCATCCATTAACAAAGGTTTATCAGGTAGTGTGACTTCTTGCAACGTGTTTAACTTTGTCCCTGTGCAATACCACGGTCCACGAAGTAGTGGTTATAAATCTTCAAGTCATTCTACCACTTACTGAACATCTTGCAAATCCGGCTCTACCTTGATGAGAGGACAACCTGTTCATTGATCCATGCGTATATATCATCTCGGATGGACTGTCTACTCGTTGGCCTGACTCAATCCTCAATATGCAATAGGAATCCTCAATAGGAAAGCTCCAACGCGTAAAGAATTTTGCTGCTACACTTGTCTCCAGATCACAGAAATACTCTCACATAACTCCTGTTCTGCAGAGATTATACTGGCTTCCCATATCAGACAGAATCCAATACAAACTCAATCTCCTTGTTTTCAATTGTTTCAATAACCTAGCTCCAAAGTATCTATCTGACCTGATCACCAGATATCAGCCTCACTGATCTGAAAATCTTGGTCTTCTTGTTGTCCCACGCATTATGTCCAGCACCAGATTTGGGGATCGATCATTCAGGCGGCAGCACCCATTCTCTGGAATCAACTTCCACTGGAGCTAAGGACAATACACAACCTGTAGATTTTTAAATCTAAACTGAAGACATACCTCTTTAAGAAAACATACAGTGTCTAACTTTTCTTTCTTGAGCTGTGTGGAGAGCGCTACTGAGCAGTACTTTTGGACTGGAATTGGCGCTATATAAATGTTTTCATGATGATGATGTAAAACGTCATAACAAAAGAATAGCAAGTCTTGACTATTTTCAGAAGCAAGTTATTATTGGCGTAAAGGGCAGAATAATTGTTGAAACTAAATAAATGAATCACTGAAAATCAGTGATCACACCAGACGTTCATGAAAAGTTAAAGCAATTCCTGCCATACCGGTAGCAGCCGCCATTCGCACACTTGGCCTAAAATAGTATTTACAGCCATTTGTTACCACTTGCCCTTTTTCTGTAGTCTCCAAGAAGACTTGCTCCCCTCTCGATGCATGTAAATACGACAAACCAGTCAGAATGTGCTTAAGGATTGAGGTTGTAATTGCTTAAAAGATCGTTAAAAACATATGTCGTTATGTTGACATTATATAGAGCATAGCTAAAAGAAATTGTGTTGTCTAATTTGACGTTTACATTTCACGTCACTGGGGGTACTTTACTCAAATTTCACTAGGTGTATGGCAACAATGTTAAACATGCAAGTTTAGGCAACTAGTAGACATCTCGTAAATTAAATCATGTTTGGACCCTCGACGATTTCGTCAGTTTGAGATTATTTTCAGCGTAGTGTTGTGTATTATTTTGGGACATATAACAGCTGGAATACATGCATATGTTATTTTAACTGCCTATCCACTAAAGAAATCCTATTTGCGATTGTTAAACCGTATTTAGAAATAAACACTTGGAATTGTAAAGTGAACAGGTGGAAATAATTACGTTAGAATATGGTTTCACAGTCATCATCATTGTGATCATTTAAAAAACGTTCAAATATTTTAAAAGCAGAAATTTTCGAGTGCTTCATTAATGTTTAGTATTGTTGGAATATAACAGAAATACAGTTGTCGTTCTTGTTTGAAGTAGTTCTGATGTTCATACGCCAATATCAAATCCTTCATCCTACAATGCATTCATATTTTGGACTTCTTAAAATGACTGAAAATCTCATTTTTCTTTACATGGATGTGACACATCTCTATACAACATTAGCATCTATATATAATGCCAGCTGTGTTTATTTCAACTAGATTGATGGTATGTATCCTCTAATGACCCACCTTTCATGCAAAGGCATTGGAAATTCTGGCTAGAAATGTTTGTAGACACAATGTTCAAATCTTGTAAACACGTAGAGATCATCATAGCCAAAATACCACACGAGAATATACAACATTGATGACAAACAACTCACACCAACTTACATCTGCCAAGTCCTTAGATCCAACAAAGTGCTGTGCCTTATTTGTAATCGTATCATGATCCATTTCTAATAGGTGACAAGTGAGTGTCGAAATAGTGTATTCAACAGATCGACAGAAGCCATTCTCAACACATTTGAGTTGGCATAAGTTGATGCCTATTTTCTTGAAGACTAACGATCTATAGGTTGGCGTATTTGGCAGTTGACAAATAGCCACATCAAATGTGAGGCACGTTATTAAAGTTTGGAACATGATCTCATGAATGACTGAATGCCACGTTGTCATCTTGCTGTTCACAGAGCTATAAAAGCGTACAACTGAAAATATCACGAGGACGTATTTGGACATGAAAAGGAACTGTCGCTGACAAGAATTAAATATGCAGCCTTTTCGCGATTATCATCTCTTTGTTTTCACATTTTGTATAATGAGAGTAGCATATGAATTCGAAAGGACATTAAATAGCTATTAGAGTGTTTTAGAGTTATATCTGGCTCCGTTAAGTAGCAATGATAAGGATACAGTGTTTCTTATCCTGAAACTTTTACTCTTGTGAAGATTTCAACTATTTCAACATAAAAGAAAAGCAAAAGAATCACTGATTTTGCATTAAGATAAACGAATTATTGTCCATTGTTTGTGATGTTAGATATTGATAAACAACAGTCACTCCTTGATTCTTCAGAATAATAATCCTTCAGCTACTGTAGTTTGACCTGCTTATGTAAAGCAGATATAGAACTCAAACACAGCATGATCCATATACACGTGCGTGTATTTGTGCTGGATCTATATCTGAACTACATGTTTATGGTCTAAAGACCATTTCCGTAAAACAAATAAAAGCAGGGTTTCAACCGCATTTACATCGTCAGATATCTATCTATAAGAATAGCAATGATGATGAGACGGATGAACACATTGTTGGAAGCTGTTAAAGAAAGTTACAAAACAACCTTATAATTAGGTAATGAAAAGTCCTGTTTCTTAAGAAGCATGTACTTGAATGTAACATGACAGGAAAGAGAACAAGCAATTCTCTGACAATCACTGATGCACTTCATCCGTTCTTATGTTTAATAGTAATATATGCCATATAACTTGATAGGGTGCAATCAACGAATGTAGAAGCCAAACGATATTTGCGCTCGATTTTCTTTCTTTCACGCTTGGCATTCATATTGACCCACACTCTGATGCTCCCAAATATAACCCTGATGGACACTAAGACATCATCGATCATGATTAATCTATGAATACACAATGATATCCAGAAAGTGGTCGTAGTTCCTTGTGATATGTCATATTTCAATTACACTCTGTCGGTAGAGTAGATATTCTGGTAGTTTTATTTAGTTGAATACCGGGATTCGAACATAGACTCTCTCAGAGTAAATCACCAAAAGGAAGCCTACTGGCCGAGCGGGTTAGATCGCTGACGTTGTGTGCTGCTGAGTAGGTGCCTGACTCATCTCAATATTACAAAGAGTACAAAACTCAGCAGCTCGCATTGTCAAAAAGTGTCCAAGAGAGAACATATCTCCCCAGTTTTACGAGCCTTACACTGGCTGCCCATAAGAGCCAGAGTGGAGTATAAAATCCTGAGTCTAGCCTACCAGTGCTATCAGGAAAGTGCTCCGGACTACCTCAATGAGTTGGTGACCAAACATGTTCCATCGAGAGCCTTACGATCAGCTGATCAACATCTATTGGTCATCCAAAGACGGAAACTAAAAGCCTTCGGTTAACGGCTCCTTTAGTTATAGAGCTCCAACACTATGGAACCAGCTGCCACACGAACTCAGACAAACAGCATCCCTTGATTCCTTCAAATGTGCCTTAAAAACACTTCTCTTTAGAAAATACTACACTGACTAACATATCCTCAAAAGATTCAACTATTTTATGTATAAATGTTTAATGTCTTGTAGCACTCCAATCATCTTTATATGTAGCACTTTGAGCATACATTTTTGTATCGAATCCAGCTCGGTATAAATACACATATTATTATTATTAGGTGTTGGTTCGAATCAAACTAATAGAATCTGATCTTCACTGAGAAAGTATAGTCCCAAATATTACATGTGTTACAGGATCAGTCTAATTCACTCAAAAGACAAACCTTCGTTTTCCTTTCAATCGTATTTGCAATGATGACATTTGTAAATCTGTATAACATATGTGACACATACAAATACCTTAACTACTGTATTAAATAAGGGCAGGCTTCGTTCTAGTTGTAATTCCAT